TAGTTAAGCATTCTTCAGTTAATGCACTTAAAAAACAAAGTAAAATCTCTGATTATTTTAAATAATGTAGTATGTATTTTATACTTTGGTATCTATAGGATCTATGTTCCTATTCACAACGAGTTTTGTTATAGAATATACTTATTCTTACTTAAATTATATTTGTTTAAGGTTTTGCTAAGAAAAATGTTTTATTTTATTCGTTTTTTAAATATATGTGTATAAAAATGCAAATCGCGATAATCCGGATTTTTTGTTAATCCGGATTAACCTGTGCTTTAATTGATCCGGATTATCGAGTCTTTACTGTATATTCAAATCTAGAGAGTAAAGTAGAGTAAAAATAATAACAACTCATTTCAGATCATTTGGTCAATCAATCATCCGTACCACAAGATTGACAAAAAATACTTGCACTTATTTTGGCAGTACGACCCTAGCTGGTTTAGCTAGTTTGACGTAACAATAACAACTTTTTTTGCTAAATTTATTACGTAGTTAGTATAATGTAACATGGATAATATAAATCTTGACTTGTAACATTTGCCCATCCCTTAATTTGAGTTTAGAATTACCTCTTCCCATCCCTGCCACCCACTTTACAAGCCATATTTTAAGATTCGGGTCAGCTTTACGATTAATAACTCGCCAGTTTTCGAAAGTACTTTGTCGACAAGGGCTTAAATCGATTTGGGTTTGTGTCCGAACAAGTTTCATCTTGATTAGAACACCATCCATACATCTAGAATACGAATTTCCTAGAAAATCCAGTTAATTTTTGAACTGACTATAATTCCTTAATAGGATTGTCTCGCAGTAAAGATTTCCAGCGTATAGCAGTTCAATTTGGAAAGTTTTTGTCTCTATACATTCTTTGCCATTGGCACGTAACCAATATACATTGATTTGTTTTGACCCATTTTATAGAAGCAACATGTAAACAAACCGTTGGTTTAGTTTAAGTTTGATTTGAATAAATTTTAATAGGTTATTTAATGACGTCTTGTCGTTGAAATTAGTTCAAAAATCAGGTATTTGACGATTAAAATTCAACCAGCTATTTTTGAGGCTTAAACTATGCTTTTAATCTTATACTACAAAAAAAATATACCTCAGTAAAATTGCCAAATTCAGCGTTTATCACAGTTCACAGGAACACTTTAGCCCACGGCCACACAGAAAGCGATTTTTACGTTATTTGCGTGAAGAGCCTTTTGCGACTAAAACAAAATAACAGGATTATATACGAGTAGCCCGACAAAAAGCGTGTAGCGTTCTTAAAAATTAATTTTTAAAAAAATTGTATTTAAACATCAATATTTTTGATAAATACGTGGACTGCTCACAAATACACGTCGCGTCACTACGTATTTCTAAGCCGTTATCACTTTTTGTTACTACTAGTTTGTGTGTCGGCCCAAGTAGCAAAATTACGTTGTTCAACGTAATCACAACGTCGCCGGGAGCAACCCAACGTTGCCTGACAACGCCGAAGCGACGTCTAAGCGACCCATATTTGCACCAAAATGGTGGATGTTTTTAGGGTCATTACAACGTCGCCAACGTTGGCGACGTTGTTTGAGGCGACGTAGTACGTCGTGTGCTAAAAGTTGTTTTTCTTGCCGATTCGCGATATTTTGGGGTTAGAGTTAAAAATATTCATCGTCAAATATTACTATATTCAACCATGGGGAAACCAAACTAAATGACGTATGAATTAGAAATGGAATATATTATGCTCCATTAAGAAATATCTAGGTGAATTCAACTTCGACAAACCTGCAAAGTTTTGAGATGTCGGCAATTGAAATTCGTCAACGAAGATTAGTTTACTGTTGAAAGTGACCATGATACTTCGAAATATGGCAAAACCCTTTTTTTATTTCCTAGTTTTAATTTTAAAATTATAGTTTACTTGGTTAACCTCATTTTTTTTTAATTTTGAGACAAATATGCGAAATCTATCAGGAAAATTAGCTTACAACCCTAACAGATACAGTTTTTTAACGAAATTCGCAGTATTTTGTGGTTTCTGATATTTTATTCAATTCGTTCACAACGCACGAAAAGATAAATCGTATTAAAATGGCGGAGTTGCCTAAGGCAACCTTTAAAATACCAATATAGTGCATAAGGTGCGGTAACCGACCTTTGGGTTACCTATGCCAACCTTTGGTTCTGAAATTGACACCTGCTTTGACGAAATAGGACCTCTGAACCCTACCGACATCTAGGAGGTAAATAACAAAATTCCTTCTTACAGTGCTCTTTTTTACCAAGGAAAAATAAAATAAAGAAGAAAGCTGGGTCATCCTTTGGTGGTGGTGGTCACATACTCGTTAATAAGATCGCTGACATTAGATCAGTATTTCTATTTATTTATTGTTAAAAAAAGCCGTACAGGAAGTATTGTTGATCTTACCACTCCACGTGCATCAATCGGCAGCCCTTTTATACCACAAGATGATAATCCTTTTAAAAGCTAGTTTACAGTTGAATGGGATATATTATTTTGTACACTCCACTGACTTGTTCGAAAGGACGTCAGGATGAATTTCAGTTGACTGCTCTTCTGGAGGATCATTATTCTCATAGTATTTCTCTGTTGTATGGGCTTCAGGTGTACTGTTATTTATTTCTATAGTATCCATTGATGATAAGCTACCACTAGTAGCACATTGCGAGGATGTAGATGACGAACCTAAACTCGTTATTTCCACATCATTTTTCGGACACTGACTTGCTCGCTGACTTTCTTCTAAATACTTTTTCCTTTTTCTATAAAAAGTTGTAGAGTATTTATATACTTTTTTCCTATGCATCTTTTTTTTTCTTTACACAGTATAAGTACCACAGAAAAAAAACGTAACCAATTGCTCTGTGACAGTACAGTACAGAATTTTTTGAGGTTAGGTGTAGATAGTTCCGCTTCCACAACAAAAATCGATATCGTCGCGCTCGTCGCCGTAATCCAACGTAGTAATTGGTTAATATAATTTTGAAGTTGCTTTGGGTCCTTTAATGAAACGTTGTATTACGTTGTAGTTAGTATGTACTTACACTCGTAATTTAAAAGTACGTTGCACAACGTTGTACTACGTTTGTTATTCTGCAGTACAATAAACGTGCCTTCTGGTGACGTAATGAAAACGATATAAAACCCCACTTCTAACAACGTTGTGCCCTACAACGTTTACCAACGTTGTTAAGGGTCAAAATATACAACTGTTTAAGTGCAACGTCGTAGCGACGTTTTGGCTACGTAATTTGAGGTTTGGGTATGCATAGGGCAGGGAAAAGTACCAATTTCAACGTTGCGCGTAGTCAAAACTAGTCGGAAGTCGGAATTTTGTTACTTGGGATGGCCATCTCACTAGCTCGTATGTCACGGCTTTGTAATTTTACTCCCAGCACGCGTCAAAAAATTTCACTTCAAAAAGTTTGATAAATCATGTCCTAAAATTACGTTACCAATTAGTAATATTTACTATTCTAACATAAAAAATCTATACACAAATAAACTAAAATTCCTAAAATATATGGCAAATAATAATTATTATTTTACATACGCCACTGGCACTAGCAGTAGATTGCGTTTGTCGTCTAATATGCACCCCGCTCAACTTTCGATCCGAGCATATCTTTCATCTTCGTCTTTTCAACGCTAACCGCGCCGATCTCGCCTATATCTTTCTCAAAGGATTGATTGTTGAACGGGCCGGGAATTCCAAGAGCTTTTTCCTTACTAATCGACAGCTTGATAGAAACTGGAGACCTACCGCTTCTTTTGCGTATTTTTAATGGATACAAATCGAAATAAATAAAGCTTCAAACGGTAAAATCGCAAAAGCGCAAAAAAATGCTTCTATGTGGCCGTGGGCTTAAGCCATATTTATACACCAGACTTTAATTCGTTAAAAAAATAGTAGGCGTCTGTCAGCTTTTTTAATTAAAATACATTAAAGCTCTTTGTCTGATGAAAATGTTTGTGCAAATTGAGAATTATACTGTAATTTCCTTATATAAACTTATATGCTAGCACATAATTTTATAATTAAACGCCAAATCGGAACATTTTATACGGAACTCTCTTTTATTTTTTTAAAAGCAATTATCTTCCTTTTTCTTTCCTTCTTTATTTGCACCATGTATTTTATGTTTTAATGTCAAATAGTAAAATATATGATGAAGTTGAACTGGAGATTAATATCCATTTGAAAATTATCAAAGCCATCTATTGATCGGTTCATTAATTTGATTGACAGTTAAATGTTAGCAGTTTGCCAGTTCTCTATAACATGATTTAGTTTATGAGAATAAAGAGAAAATTCAAGCGAAATTTGATGCAATTATGTTTTGTGTTTTTTGTGTTTTTAGTACATAACAGTTTTTGTGATTTTAAAGGTTTACCTGCCATATTCCGGTATCGGTGAATACATTTTGTCGTTTTTTTTAATGTAAAGGGTGTCGCACCTCATTCGCCTCGTTTAATTATACAAAAACGGCAAAATCTAGAAACATAATAGTTTATGAATTTTTGATACCCCTGTATACATTTAAGGAAGCAATTAATTTTTTTAGTTAAGTTTATTTCTCTGGCTTCAAAGTCAGTCCAAGTATTAACTCTAAAAAATGATGTACAGGGTGTTGACAAACTGTTTTATTATAACATGCATATTTAAATATATCTAAATATCTCAAAAACGAAGGCATTTAAAAATATTAAACTCTTGTAATAAATGCCTTATTTTTTGCCCAAGAATCCCCAAAAACGAAATAAAATACCGGGTATTCCATAAGAAAAAATATAACTTTGGTATGGATCTTAGTTCTGACACACCCTGTACATTTGAAAATAATTTTAAATTATGCACATTTCCTCTCTACATATACTCATAAAAATTTTGTTTCAACATCTTTCTGTTTTCGTATAATCAACCGAGGCGAATGAGGTGCGCCACCCTGTATACTGTAAAACTGGATTTCTCGGAGTTGGGTATATGGTAAATATCTATAGAAGTATCGTACTTCTTTAACGCCCATTGTAAGAACTATCCCTATTAATCCTGTGCATATTCATGCATACTAAAAGCAGTTATTCTTCTTTTGCAGGCTCTTCTGCAAGCCCACGACGTTGTAGCGCACGAAGTCTATGGAGAAGACGCCGTACGAGTTACCCCTCCCCCACTCCTACCCTACCTCAATGGTGGGGAGGAACTGGACGGCCCCAATGGCGACCTGGAAATGGAGAACGTTACCAGGGTGAGATTGGTGCAGTTCCAGAAGAATACCGACGAACCTATGGTAAGTACTAGCAGGAGTTTACAGTGTATGACGTAAGTTGGTTCACTCCCCGTCAATCAATTATTTTCTAATAAAATAGAATGAAAGTCAGAATAAGTTATCAAGATCGCCATTATAGTATTTCACTCCTAGACATAAGACTGTAAGACTCTCTTGATAACCTGGCGAAAAAATCTTCATTATTTAATTAAATACTAAAATCACCATTTACGATCTTCCTTATTAAATTTTATATTCTTTTGGTATATGTAAAACATAAAATGTATTTTTTTGTATAGACACTACTTTCTGAAATGCTTTATATTTTTTCTTTTTTTTTAGGGTATAACGCTGAAGATGGACGAAGATGCAAAATGTATAGTGGCGAGGATCATGCATGGTGGCATGATACATCGCCAGGCTACCCTGCATGTTGGTGATGAAATTCGAGAAATCAACGGCATACCTGTAGCCAATCAGTCTGTCAATGCATTGCAACGGATCCTTGTATGTATCTCTTATTTTGAATACAAAAGTAGAACAATTTTTTTTCAAAAACATCAAACCGTATACGCGGTGTTTCAGAACAAATTAATTGCCATTGAAAGTCGTTGCCGTTGCTCACAAGATCGCACTTCCTAGAGGAAGGGCCTACACTATAGGCACGCCACTAATACCAATGTTAAATTTTCTTAGAAAAACATATTTTAAAAATAATTTATTAACAAACATGTTTTAAACTAACCCATCTTTTGTATTATCGTCGCTGGAAAGTCAAAACCTCGTATCTCCAACTTTTGAGATTTACTAGTGTAAAATGTTTCAGTAAATATGTCCGCGTTAAATGGCAACACCTAAGGTTAGACGTTATTCACTACGCATCCGAATAAAAGTTGATTCTCACTATACCTTCCGTTTCCATTCCATATCCATTCTATATCCATTCCATATCCATTCCATATCCATTCCATATCCATTCCATATCCATTCCATATCCATTCCATATTCATTCCATATCCATTCCATATCCATTCCATTCCATATCCATTCCATATCCATTCCATAACCATTCCATATCCATTACATATCAATTCCATATCCATTCCATATCCATTCCATATCCATTCCATATCCATTCCAAATCCATTCCATATCCATTCCATATCCATTCCATATCCATTCCATATCCATTCCATATCCATTCCATATCCATTCCATATCCATTCCATATCCTTTCCATATCCATTCCATATCCATTCCATATCCATTCCATATCCATTCCATATCCATTCCATATCCATATCCATATCCATTCCATATCCATATCCATTCCATATCCATATCCATTCCATATCCATATCCATTCCATATCCATTCCATATCCATTCCATATCTATTCCATATCCATTCCATATCCATTCCGTATTTTTTTATTGTATTGACGCTATACGTAAGCTTCCGTTCCGAATCAGTTCCATACTTTTTATTGTATAATTTATATCATTAGGAAAGTTTCATTTTAAAAATTTGTATCTTTTGAAAAAGGTAATAGATTTAATTAAGAGGTGAAAGAATAAATAAATATCAGCAAAATTTTAACAGAGCTGGTACAAATGTAAGAACTTGACAACGCTCTTTCCTATACGCTTCAGTCCGTCCGCCAACAAAATGTATGGAAGGAAATGATATGGAAGGGAAGGGAAACGGAACGGATAGTGTGCATTGTCCTATTCATTTACATGATATAATATTTTATGTAAACGGAAGGGAGCTGATATGGAAGGTATAGTGAGAATCAACCTTAAATAATCTTGATACGAGGTGTTACATAGAACGCGGACATATTTACTGAAATATTTTACACACTCGAAATTTCAAAATTTGGAGATACGAGGTTTTGACTTTACAGCGACGATATATTATTCAACGGAACTTCTATGTAAAATCATTAAAAATATTTCAAATCCAATTTTTATGTATAATTCAATCATAAAAATGTATTGTGTTTAAACTAACTCAGAATGTATAAAAGCGATATTAAAAGCGTTCAATATGCCAGCGTTTTTAATATCACTTTATTATACAGCCCACTGGATTTTTTTTGAGAAATATTTACCTTCCCGAAAAGTAATGAATTACATTTTATTTTTTAATTTCAAATCCTGAAAGTTTATGAAAAAAAATACAAGAGGTAAAAGAAAGTCAGGCTGTCTAAATTTATCTTTGTACCGCTAACATATCCCTAATGGTTAACTTTTTATAAAAAAACAAAATATTTTTACTAAATAATCACCCCTAAAGTTTCATTTATTTTGAAACATTCTGTATAGAAAAAATATATAAACTAATCGAAAAAAGTTAAGGATATTGTGTTTTAGCTAGGAAAAAAAATCAGAAAAAATGTGTTATAACTATTAATACCTATGCGTTTGTGTTTAAAAAAATACTGTTTGTGAACATAAAAAATTGTACTCAAACAAATAAAAAGCATTATCATCAAAAATGTACATTTAATTTTTATTTAGAATAGAACTTGTTTAAGTGTTGCTAAGCGGCAGTTTGCGATATTGTGGTTATTCTGTCATCGATAATATGAACAGACGTCATTTAACAATAGAGGAAGCAAATCAGGCCATTGGGTTGGTTCTTAGCAGTGCGCGACAGATCGATGTGGCTGATCGATTTAAAATCACCTAAAGTGTAATTTCTATGCTTAAAAACCAATTTAATGAGACTGGATCTGTCATGGAGAGGCATAGGAAGGGTCGACCAAGGTCGACAAATGCTAGGGAGGACCGAAGCTTACTGAGAGGAGCAATGATGGATCCTGCAAGAAACTACACATTGCTCTGTCAGGACATTTCGGCTGCCAGCAGATTACGTATTACCCTTCGCACGGTCTTAAATCGATTAAAAAAAGCAGGTTTACATTGCTATAGGTAATAAGACGCCCTCCGTTGACCGCGAGAGTAAGGTTGAGATCACAAAGCTCAACGTTTGCTCTGGTGTAATGAAAGAGCTAACTGGAATGATGAATGGCATACTGCGATGTTCAACGATGAAAGCTGTTTTTCTCTTTGTACTGACAGACGTACAGTTCGTGTGTGGAGATTAAGAAATACAAGACTTAACGACCGATGTTCAAGAAGGGCATCCCTTTGGAATTAGAGGTGTAATGGTCTGGGGTGGAATTTTCTGCGGAGGCCGAATGGAATTGTATATCTGTGAAGGTACAATGACAGGTGAAATTTATGCCGACAACATCATTGGAGGATCACGAAGGCCGTCTTATAGGCCTATATCAATGTAAACCGGCTTTTTTAATCGATTTAAGGCCGTCCGAGGGTCAATACGTACCCTGCTGGCAGCCAAAAGGTCCTAGCTGAGCAACGTGTAGTTTCTTGCAGGATCCATCCTAGCTCCTCTCATTAAGCTTCGGTCCTCTCTAGCATTTGTCGACCTTGGTCTACCCTCCCTATGCCTTCTATGACAGATTCAGTCTCATTAAATCGGGTTTTAAGTCTAGAAATTACACTTTAGATGACTTTAAATCGATCAGCCACATCGATCTGTCGCGCACCGCCAAGAAGCAACCCAATGGCTTGATTTGCTTCATTTACTTTTAAATGACATCTATTCATATTATCGATGACAGAATAACCACAATATCGCATACTGCCGCTTAGCAACACGCAAACATATTCTATTCTAAACAAAAATTTAATGTACATTTTTGATGATAATGCTTTTTATTTGTTTGGGTACAATTTTTTATGTTTACAAACAGTATTTTTTTAAACACAAACGACATAGGTATTAATAGCTATAACACATTTTTCCTGAAGAATTTGTTTCTTAGCGAAAACACAATCCTTAACTTTTTTCGATCAGTTTACATTAGGGTGGATCAAGAAAATTGACTTTTTTTCACGTTACTTTGAAAAAAAGGTTGGTTAGACACCTCAAAAAATTCTCTCCAAGTATGAGTTCTTAACTTTAATAGGTAGGTCCTCCGCCTTTCAGTTTTCTATTTTTTCCTTGTATCTCCGTTGATAATTTTGTTTTTTCTTCTAGATCAATACTTTTTATATTAAATTTGTCACAAAAATGTTATTTACTCGAAATTTAATGAATCATTGACTCTAAGTTAGAAAAAATGCAATACTTTTTTGTTTCAGGTGCTTAGGACTAAAAAAACTAGAACAAAAGTTTAAAACATTTCTTTGTTCATAGAAACTCAAATTTGTACAATTTTTTCCGAAACTCATAAAATAAATTGGAATCGTTCGAATTATTAATCAAAAACTGTTAAAATTATTGTGCATTGAAGTTTGACGAGGAATATCTTTTAAACGGTTAATTTAATCGACTAATCATAAGAAACCATTTTCGTAGAGCAGTGAATTTCCTACAAAACCGTGAATTGCGCGTATCATAGTGATTTTTTGTTAACGAGTTATAAAATTCATAAGAAAAAAAATTGTCTTAAAATAATCAAATTTCAACCTTTAATAGCGTTCGAACGGTGAGGTTTACAAAAAAAATTATAAGAGACCTTTTTTTATAGAGAATTCACTTTCCTACAAAGACGAGACAAGATATTTTTTCCAAATAGTAGATACCGAGATATGATTTTTTCTTTCTAATAATAAGGAAAAAATAGTAAACTGAAAGGCGCATGACCTACCTATTAAAATTAAAAACTCATACTTGGAGAGAATTTTTTTGAGGTTTCTACCAACCTTTTTTTCAGAGTATAAAGTAAAAAAAATACAGGGTCGCTGATATTTAGGGAAACGGTCGATTATTAGGTAAAATATACAAGATACCGCAAAAAGTTAAATATAAAAGTTCTAGGGTTTTTAAATGTCTATTATCTGGTAGTAAATTTAGGTATACAGGCATACCATTTTTTTTAAATACAGCCCCCTGTATATTAATGCATATTTCAATTCTTCCTCCAATTTTAATCAATAATCGTAATACACATATGTACAGGGTGGACCATTTTGGTTGTTGGTATAGGGTATCTAGGAAACCGTAAGAAATATTCAAATTTTGATACTGCAGTCGCGGGTTCATTTTTTGAAAAAATCACAATGCCGCAAACGGATCGTGGCCATCTTGATCGGTTTCGAAGCTACAGGGGGATTCACAAAATTTGTACTTTTTGAAGATGTGCTATAGTTTGTTTTTTTCAGCAACTACGCAAAAATGAATTATACATTCTAAAGGCACTTTTCTATGTAGAATGCAGTGGCGTAGTCAGACTTTTTTCGAAAAAAATACTTTTTTAGATATTAACTATACTTCTGTTTTTTTAAATAGAACCCCCTGTATATTTTTAAATTTCCTGATTCAGCTTGGGATGGGCTTCTCGAAAATATATAACACTCTATATTTATTTTCACTTGTAACCTCAACAATTTTTCTTAAAATATCCAGTTAGTAGTAGTCCGCGCCGAGTAACAAAGTAAACGGTTGTCATGGTGATCGGGACATACCTTTGATGGATGCGTGACATTTCACTTCAACAGATTGAAGTGTGTGTATTTTAAATAATAAAAAAATGAGTAAATTTGAAAATTTTGAGAAATATAATATGTTAGAATGTTATATTGAGTCTAATAAACATAAGCAAATGGCAGCTGATTTATATTTTGGGCGCGAGCAACCAAACCCAGCCATTTTTAAAAGGTCAGAAAATAGTTTAATCCTAGCCACCTAGGTCACCTGATATACAGGGTGTCCCAGAAATGAGTGCAGATATTTTAAGGGGTGGTAGATCTGGTCAAAATAAACATATTTTCTCTTTACCATTTTTAAATTAAATTGAAAATAACCGAGTTATTTAACTTTGAAAATTTAAAAAAATAATCGCAACATTTTGAGAACCACCGGCAGATATCGCCAACTACATCCAATTGCCCGGATCAAGCCCGAATTTCAGTTAATTCGACGCACTGTGTTGCCATAGGGACAAGAAAGTGTATGTTAAAAGTAAGTCATAAAATCACAACACCTGACGAGTTTGCAGAGATTCATTACATTTTTAAGATTGTGATATTATTACATAAAATAAATTAAAAGTTAAATGTTTAATAATGTGTTAAAAAATGTGTTAAAAAAGTTAAATTAAAAAACTTACCCAACATTAAAAAAGATACTTATGACAGATTGTAACTGTGACAATTCTCTTTTTCGATATACACTTAACTAAAATACACTTCACTGTGCTGCTTTACTTGTACATGCTGTAGTTATTATAATAACTACTAAAATAACAGTGTCCCCATTTTTAACACATTATTTTCATATAGGCCTCATCACAATTTGAATCACTGATTTACAAAACTCCTTGAAAAGCACACATTACTTTGAATACCTTTCTGAATGAATAAATGTTGAGAATTATTGTCTCTCACCGCCACTTTACGAACTACTTTCAATCTAAGGAAATACATGTTTCACTCAACAATTTTAAATACATATTTTGTTTTTTCGCTATTTTTTCTATGTATTTCAACAATTCCATCGACAGCCCAATCGTCGCGTCGGCCACCGGCCAAGAGAGCGGCGCATCACTGGTAACTGCTCCTTTGTCGCGCCGCCGTGTCGAGCTTGCGTCATGCGAGGTTGCCGTAGTTTCAACAATTTCAAATTCAAGACACTCGAAGCAATCAAATTCTTATTAAATTTTAAAAATAAAACAGAACACATGAAAGGAAACAAACAAAACACAAATGAATTGGTTACTGATAGGGTCACAAAAAAGAAATTTCTAAAATGTTTATCGTAATTCAGAATTCAATACATCAAAAACAGCCCGACGAATAATCAATTCATTTTTGTTTTGTTTATTTCCTTTCATGTTTCTCTGTTTTATTTTTAAAATTTAATACGAATTTGATTGCTTCGAATGTCTTGAATTTGAAATTGTTGTAACTACGGCAACGTTGCTTACATCGTCGTCTGACGCAAGCCCGCCACGACGGCGCGGCGACCGGCGACTCAAAGGACCAGTTCACACGCGGCGGTTCTTGGCTGACGGTTAGGCCAGAGAAGAACGACCGGTTAGGGTTTGTCGATGGAATTGTCGAAATACATCGAAAAAATAGCGAAAAAACAAAATACCTATTTAAAATTGTTGAGTGAAACATGTATTTTCTTAGATTGAAAGTAGTTCGTAAAGTGGCGATAAGAGACAATAATTCTCAACATTTATTCATTCAGAAAGGTATTCAAAGTAATGTGCGCTTTTGAGGGTGTTTTGTAAAACAGTGGTTCAAATAAAACAGAGAAACATGAAAGAAAACAAACAAAACAAAAAGGAATCGATTATTCGTTGGGCTGTTTTCTAAATTTCTTGAATTGAATTCTAAATTACGATAAACATTTTAAGAATTTCTTTTTTGTGACCTGATTGTGAATAATATGAATCATTTTATTAAATTTATTCCAAAATAAAGTTATTTTGCGCATAACAAAGATTTTCGTAAACGTCATAAACGTAATGTTTTAGTTAATTTTCGGTGGTTTTTGTTAAGTTTTCATTGAAAGGGTAAATACTAAAAATAATTAATGTGTTTTTTTTTCTATAATTATTAATAATGAGCACTGATAAAAGATTAAATTTACCATTCCTAATTTTTTGAGTAGAAATTTGTCTATGAATTTATAAATGTAGAACTATGTTCCGCCGAACTATGTAGAATGTCGATAACATAGGAGGTTGCAAACTGCAAGGTTTAGATACAAGTGAAATTTCACTTCAACAGAACAAGTGGTGTATTTTAAATAATAAAAATGAATAAATTTGAAAATTTTGAGAAATATAATATGTTAGAATGTTATATTGAGTCTAATAAACATAAGCAAATGGCAGCTGATTTATATTTTGAGCGCGAGCAACCAAACCCAGCCATTTTTAAAAGGTCAGAAAATAGTTTAATCCTAGCCACCTAGGTCACCTGATATCACTCCATTGAACTTCTTTCTCAGGGGTTCTGAAAACCGCAAGTTATCGAAATGCAAATAGAATATTAGAAGAGTTACAAGATAGTTTTGTGTGGCTTTGCAAAGTGTAACCAACATGCACATTCGAAATGTTAGCGGCGGCGTGCAGAGACGGTGCCAATTCCGTCTAAATAATAATGGGCAGCAGTTTGAACATTTAATGTAGTCTTTGCCTTTTTATTTTTTATATTAACTGAGAAGCCCGATTGAAGTAACCTGTTGCGTTTGTATCATAGAGAAAGTAATAAAAAGAAAGAAAAAAAAATATTATCTTTCTCTATGGTTTGTATTAAAATGTGTTCTTTGGTTTCTGTCACACTTATTTTTTATTTGCTTCGTATTGTTCGAATTTATTTATAATATAATTATATTTGCTAATACATGGATTAATTTGAAAGTAGATATTCGCTTGTTTCCTTTAATACTCAGCATGACCTACTACGAGGAAAGTCGATATCTTTAAATAAATTGGAATTTTAAAGTTAATAGTGAAAATAAATATATAGTGTTACATATTTTCGAGAAGCCCATGCCAAACTGAATCAGAAAATTTAAAAATATATAGGGGGTTGTATTTAAAAAAACATAAGTATAGTTAATATCTAAAAAAATATTTTTTTTCGAAAAAAGTCTGACTACGCCACTGCATTCTACACAGAAAAGTGCCTTTAGAATGTTTAATTCATTTTTGCGTATTTGTTAAAATAAACAGACTATCGAACATCTTCAAAAAGTACAAAATTTGAGAATCCCCCTGTAGCTTCGAAACCGATTAAGTAGCCACGATCCCTTTGCGCCATTGTGATTTTTCCAAAAAAAGAAACCGAGACTGCTGATCAAAATTTGAATATTTCTTACGGTTTCCTAGATACCCTATAGAAACAACCAAAATGGTCCACCCTGTACATACCTAAATTCAACAATTTTCGAATTATGAAAATTTGATTTTGAAATGTTATATGAAGATTTTGTAATTTTCAAACTTGATATAATCTCATTTTATACACTATACACCTATAAATGGTAACTTGAAAACTATTGTCAAATATTATTATCACAGTTTTCACAGAATGGCATCGTTAAGTCAAACGGAACACATCGAAATTAATTAAATCGATTTTTTTAAGTGATATTTTCAAAACTCTCGGAAACGGTTGGTTTGAGGTTCATTGTGTGTATTTCGATTTTTGCTTGGGATTGAAGGAAGAACTGAAATATGCAATAATGTACAGGGGGTTCCATTTAAAAGAAGTAAATTTTGATGTGCCACGATTTTATGAATCGACCCTGTATACTTAAATTTATTACTCGTTAATAGGCATTTAAAACCCGTATAACTTTTATATTTAACTTTTTGCGGTACCTCGTATATTTTACCTAATAATCGACCGTTTTCATACATATCGCGACCCTGTATATCTTATGAGATTATAAAATTCTGAAGAATTTTTTTTTAAAATTGGCGTTCTTAAAATAAGTTTTTTTCTATCGACTATTATTAATGTCTTGCTACAAAAAAAACATGACCAACCCTCTTATTTCTCATTTTATATATACGGTTCTTATTAAACTCGTGACATATTGCCCAATAAATTCTGCCACGTTTTTTGTATATTATCGATATCGATAGCGGCATTATATTAACTTTTTTTTTATTCTTTCCTCTTCTTTTTCCTTTGACAGAGAGAAGCCCGCGGCTCTGTCACGTTCAAAATAGTTCCCTCATACCGAAGTGCCCCACCACCTTGCGAGGTAAGTCGTTGACATTCTTTGCTCGTCTTCAATTTGTTCCTCATGACAGGATAGATAAAATAGACGACATTCCAATACAAAATGTCGTCTGTTTTTATTCGTTCTTGTTTATTTTTTGTTATTTAAGTCATCTTCAATTTAAAAAACATTTATTGTCTGTCTAGGCATGGATTTGACTAAACTTTGACATTTAAAGTATAGTTAGATACATTCTAGACCAGGGTTTCTTAAACTTTTTGCAGTCACGGACCACTTTCGCAATTTGTACAGGGTGAGTCAACAATAGAGTAAAGTCCATTATCTCATTTGTTTCGAGGTTTACAAAAAAATGTTAAATACAAAAGTTATAGGGAAGATTAAGATACACATTTTAAAAATATTATAGAGTATACAGGATGCTTCAAAAAAGTGAGGAGGATATAACATGTTTTTTTAAAGGCAACAACCTATTTTTTATTTCATTTTTAGATTCGGCGTAAAATTCTATAACTTTTTTATATATAATGTTATATACCTAAAATTAATAGTTTTTGTAATATTTAAATTTGTTTATACAAATGTTAAATTGCAGTGTGGTAAAAAATTGTCAGTTGTGCCATTGTTTCTGAAGTTGGAATACCAAATTTGGTATGAGAGTTCTATAGAGATTAAAAAGAAGATATATGTTAAGATATTTTAGTTAAATGCTACAGGGTGTTCAAAATATATTTATAAATTTCAACTACTTAAAATTAAAAAATCTAAAATTTTTTAAATGGTACACCCTATATATTTTTTCTGATAGATTTTGCAAAGCTCTGCAACTTTTATTAAGTATGTCATATACCTATTTTTAATAATTTGCGATTTATTCCAATTTTTTCTATTTTTACCCATATCTTTAATACAATTACGCTATAACATCATAGTTACCATGACAAAAAATAATAATTGTTATCAAAATTTCATATGTCTGTTAGGGAAGTTAAGAACAAAAGGTGAATTTTAGTTTAATTTGTTCTAATAAGTATAAATGTTAGAGGTAGATGTAATAGTTTCAGATTTTTCTGAAAATGGATTAGTCATTGTGACTGATAAACACGAACAAGCCAAAATAAACATATTTTTTGGTTCAGTACTATATATTATATAGTACTTTGCTAAGTACTACAAGAATAGATGTAGATTATCTAGAGAACATTTTTATATTATATTATATTATAATATTTTCAGTGTGTAATGGGACGGTTTTGTGGCAGTAGTAATATTGGCTTGACGAAATAAATTATAAACCAGAATTACTACGAGAACAAAAACTTTACTGTATGTCGGAGAAAATTTCAATATCAGTAGTCGTCAACAATTAGGTAATCTAGTTAGAATTACCATAATCTGTGGCTATTCGGCCCGACGGAAAATCCAAATGTCATCTTTCATAAGATAGAAATACACCAAGAAATTCACGACGATTTTAGTTTATTTGAGTAAAGTTAATTAATTTTGACTAATAATAACATTTGTAACTGATTATTAAACTACTTATTAAAAATAAGTAATAAATATGTTTGTTTTGTTACGGTAACTATGATGTTATAGCGTAATTGTATTAAAAATTAGGGTAAAAATAGAAAAAATGGAATAAATCGCAAACTATTAAAAATAGGTATATGACATACTTAATAAAAGTTGAAGAGATTTTCAAAATCTATCAGAAAAAAATAAAATTTATAGGGTGTACCATTTAAAAAATTTGAGATTTTTTAATTTTAAGTAGTTGAAATTCATAAATATATATATTTTGAACACCCTGTAGCATTTAACTAAAATATCTTAACATATATCTTCTTTTTAATCTCCATAGAACTCTCATACCAAATTTTGGTATTCCAACTTCAGAAACAATGGTACAACTGACAATTTTTTACCAGATTGCAATTTACCATTTGTATAAACAAATTTAAATATTACAAAAACTATTAATTTTAGGTATATAACATTATATATAAAAAAGTTATAGAATTTTACGCAGAATCTCAAAATAAAATAAAAAATAGGGTGTTGCATTTAAAAAAACATATGTTATATCCGCCACACATTTTTGAAGGACCCTGTATACTCTATAATAATTTTAAAATGTGTATCTTAACCTTCCTTATAACTTTTGTATTTAACATTTTTTTGTGAACCTCGAAACAAATGAGATAATGGACTTTACTCTATCGTTGACTCACCCTGTACAATTCAACGGACACCTATCAGAAATAATAAGGCCTTATTAAGGAAAATAAAAAAAGCCTTATTTATATAAAAAGAAAACGTTTATTAGTAGATTTGTTACACGTACACTAGTAAATTAGTTAGAAGGATGCTGCTGTTTAGCCTCAATGAGAACGTAAAATAACAAGGCAGGGCGCATATCATCTGCGACGTTCAATCGGTTACAACTTTTTGTTTTTATTGAGACCAGAACCGACGCTACTCCGTATGTACCTCGCAAAGGTACGTAGTAGCAAATGGTATCAGAACGGACATAGCTCGCTTGACAAGAAGAGGGTAAGCTTGACTTAAAGAACACCAAACTCAAAACTTTCAAAACTTCTTTTGATATCATGTCAATTAAGTCATCTTTAATGAGATCTTCATTGCTGATATTATCCGTGTCGATTATAAATGGACCCCGCACCCGCGGTTTATTTTCACGCGATTCTAAGTTACAGTAGCCTTCAAAAGAAGTTTGCAATGTATCCAAATGTTTAGGCACCTCTTTCTGTAGCATTTTTGATATCGTGTTGCCGTCACCTTGTGCTATCGACTCTTCAAACAACGGAAAATTTGCAAAGTTACCAGATTCCACCCTCCTTTTCCAAAGTGGCAGTTTACATATGACACCTTTCAACCGTTCAGATTCATCCACGATCGTCACCGCAAAGCCCTGAAGAGACAAGTTAATCTCATCCAATTTCAGCCAAATACGCTAGCCCCGTACAAAATCTTTGCTCTCAAAGATATTCAGACAGTGAATTTCCTTCATCTTTTAGAAAAAGTAACACTTCTATCCTCAACTCAAACAATCGCTTTAAGATCTGTCCCCTTTACAGCCAACGAACTTCTGTGTTGTAAAGCAGTACTTCATGTTCTGACCCCATTTCTTGACAAAGTCTTTTAAACACGTGGTGGATTAAAGCTCTTGCTCTGATGAATTTAATTATTTTGACACATGTATAACTGCCTTCATAAATGTAGGTAAAGTCCGTGAAGACAAGGCATGTCGATGTAAGACAAAATGAGTTATTATAACATGAGGGATCTCTTTCTTGACCAAAGCCGCGAAACCAGACGTATTACCAAGGATTGGGGTAGCTCCATCGGTGCAGATACTACCAAGTTTATTCTTCCAGTCTATATTTTGTTTGTTGAAAAACCTTTTTGTCATTTCAACAACATCTGAAGCCTTTTGTAGCCAAAAGTGAATTGCAAAAAAGAAACTCTTCTTATACTACGTATGTCTTGTTGTACGTAACGGACAAATACCAAGAGTTGGCTACATTGTGACACATCGGTGCTTTCATCCAATTGAATGCTGAATGGAAACGGTGAAGCAATTAATTCTTCAACGACTTGTTGTAAAACATTGACGACATTTCAACAATTCTAAAATGAATAACATCGTTTGATAAGGGAACAGCTTCAACTTTGTTTTTTTTTTATCCTTACGGGCATCGCGTAGTGTTTAGTGATTAAATACCTACTGAATTCGCCGCCCTACACTATATCTTTTCTTAATAAATATATTTACAGTTAACTGGCGTAATGCGGACCATGGGGAACCCTGATACACATGCTATGGACCCCTAAGGGGTCCGTGGACCACACTTTAAGAAACCCTGTTCTAGACTGTATTTTTTTACGGATTTGGGATACCAGACGATTTCATGCTTTATAATTTTAGTTGTATCTTTTCTAATTAGATTGATGTTTTCCATGTGATGGACAATAAACTCAATAAATTGTTTATTTTTTTAATAAATTATTCTTACTAAATAAACCTTTTTGTCTTTTTTATGTAACTTGTAAATTATGAATAATATTGAAAGTGTATTTTAGTTGTTTTAAATAAAGGATGTGAACTTATTTTTAAATTTACCACCTCCAACTCGAATCGTAATGGAGGCAATTGTAGTACTTTGTAAAAAATAAAGGATTGTAACATTTTTCACCTTCTAGCTCTTAACTCTATAAATCTAGTGTCCTACATTTCTAGAATTAATATCCTTTATGATCAGTATTTTATTTCATACTGATTATTCTGTGAAAATTTCCAATGTAGAACATGTTTTTTAAATTTATAATTAATATTTTATTTATTTATTTATTATTTCTACAAAACATGTGCTCTTCTTTTTAAATCTACAGCCTCTAAATCAAGTCAAAATTGAGGTAAATGATGTAATGTGTGTAAATTTGTTTGACCAAACTTCTGTAAATAATAAAATATAATATCGACAACTTTAGAAATCTTACACATCTTAGAAAAACTTTTTTATTATTTACATTTTGAGAAAAATTAATTTTTCATAAAAATTTTTCCTTGTTCTAAAATGGTTATTTTCGTTTATACTTTTCCAAATTTCCTTACCGTTTTAAAGAAAATTAAGAAAAACATGAAAATAGGATGGAAAGTCCTAAAAATCAAAAGGCGTGTCTATAGCAAAATAACTTAGACTATTAGAGTTATACTACTCTATTTTGTACAAATTACTACACTAGAACTACTTTTCAAAATTTATAATAGATATTTTAAAATATTTTGACACGATTCCTGTACATACACTAGAGAAACATAAAAAATATTGTTTGTATTTTTGATTTTTATAAATTATTTCAGCATTTTTTTATTTTCAACTTCACCGAGCAATGAATTTATTGAAACATTCCAATTAAAACAGGGAACAAACTCTTTGACAACACATTTTGTTGACAAAATATTCATTGATTGCAAATATATTCTCTAGTTTGGATGCAAATTTGTTCGTAACTTGTTAAACGTTTCTACTAGTTGAAAATTTCAAATTAGTTAGTCACAATGAAACTGTACAGGAGAATATAACTAAGTAAACTTTTAGTGGTGCAGCTTTACTTTTGTTTGAAGTAGTACATATTTTTGGAATTCGTTGATGTCTTTATTTATATTTTATAATTTTATGTATCCAATCATTTATAAAACGAAAAATATTTTAATGAAAGTATATAAGTTCAATTTTTGCTTCAACTGTACCGCTTATCGATGGAGTTCACATTCTAAATATAGATTTCGATGAATAAATAAATATAGGTTGTTATTTCCTGAAATGCCTAGTCAATTCACGTATTACCGGCAAAACGTAGCCTTTCAATTGGTACATCGTTTGACTATAGATCTCAATCGTTCCTTGTAATGACGGAATATTTCATTGAAACGCCGTAATAAGCTACATTAATTAAATTCCACTGTCTGCCTGTTTTAGGCGATCATTTAACTTAAAGACAGTGTTGCCTTTTAGTGCATCAAGTACTGTATTTTCCGTAGTTACGATATTTAAGATAAAATGTACAGGGTGGTCCGAACTGTATTCCGGAAACTTCGGCAGCATATTCTGCAGATAAAAATAAGTAAAAAAGTTCGCATAAATGTATGTCCTAAAAAGCTTAGTGTACAAGTTTCATTTTTATTTCGATTGTTTCCAAGTAATTTTTGAAACGTCAAATTACTGTCTGGGAGTTTTTTGACATGAGAAATTTTATTTTGATGTCAATATGACTCCTATTTGTAGGGGGCGCCACCTATGTGTTTTAACTGTTTTAAAGAGTTATAACTTTTCGTCCGTAACTGTATAAAACTACCGAATGAAAAAATATATATTTGCTTGATTTTTTACGTAAAAAATCTCTCTCGATAAAAATCGCTACGAGCAACCGTTGTCAAAATATTTAGAATGGAAATAGTCAATACGTCATTATTGGCAAAAATACACACGTTGTGTGAGTAGATAGTTATTTAACTGAAATAATAAATTTGGGAAATTTTTATTTTTTTTTAAATGATAAATCATAAATATTGCTGCTAAAAAATGATGATAAAACAGTTTCTGTTGAACTTTTGGCACAAAAACATTTCAAATTTATAATTTCAGTCCAATAACTATTTAGTCAACACGTTTACACGTTAATTTATGTCAATGATGATAGGTATTGATAATTTTGATTCCAAATATCTCGAGAACCATTACTCGTACCTGTATAAAACAGCTGAAACTAAAAATATACATTTATGACGTAAAAAAGGTCAGACAACAAAGAAAAATGCATGGCTGCAAGTTGCTAACCTAACACTAGAAAAGCCCGCGGGTTTCACAGACTATACCAAATGGATTGTACGTAAAGTATGTCCAAACACACTATAAATAAAGAACATACAGTTCATAGCATACAAAAAGTAACGAAATAAGAAATAAAAACACAAGGATAAAATAAATTCAGTGGTATAATTGCCATAAATTATTTTTTCATCCCTAATAATTAATAAAAGACAAAAAAAAGAGAAACAAGGGAATTGTAATGAATCAATTAATTAGGGCGTTTCACTGAAATAATTCCTTCATTACAGGGAATGCCCCGAGATTCACATTCAATCGATGTATCAATTAAAGAGTTACGCTGCTTGCCGGAAATACGTGAAACGATTAGAGATTTCAGGGAATGACGGATATCAGTGTATGACATCTTCCCAAAAACTAATACATCCTGCGATCATTTTTATTTCATTTCCCTATTAGTATTGCTTAGCACATCTCATCATACCAGTAAATATGATTTGTATCTTTATTTTTTATATACCCCAGGCAGTAACATATAGTTTTAGGGGCCGACACAGCTATTTATGTTTAATTTCGTTATTTTTATATTATTTTCGATCCAAACAGCTTTGTTTAGTTTGTTTTTAGTAGTGTTATCATCAAAATTTTCTAAAAATTGACGATTATATGAAATTTTGTGTTTTTTTTTGTTTAGCTGTTCAGGATCAAACCCCTGCCAGTACTTGTAAGTACCAACAAAGTAGAGAATCAGAGTTTTACTGGTGATGTGATGTGCTGTATATTTGCTTTTTTATATTTTTAGGTGCTGTTTTAAATGCGTTAAATATACAGGGTGTATAGATGTATAAGTGCAGAAAAAAAATCAGTAGCCGATTTTTTTAAGTAGTTGTTTTTTAATATCGGCTCGAGTTGTAAAATTCGACTATATATTTTTTGATTTCTAGAATAATTTTTGAAGTAAAAAAATGCCATATCAGTCAATTTAGAATTTTTTATGAATCTACACATTTATTGTTCTACATAGAGCTTTCTACAAACTGATTTTTTTTGTTAGTCTTCATTTATACCCTCTATTTTTAGTAGGTATACTTATAGAGAAATTTTATAAAATAAAAAAATATGTACCTACCTATATTTGAGTGCTGTTTTTTTCTGTTGATAGTTATATTTAAAAAAAAAACGTTGTATTATTTTTTATCATTGTAACAGTTAGGTATTGGTATGACAATGTTTGGTAAAATAAATATCAGACTTAGTGGCCGTAGAATTGTTTACTAGAAACCGAAATTACAGTGCTATCGAAAAAAACAGCAACCAGTTGGCTAGAAAAGAGCGATCCTATGGCACACATTTCCCATATAATTTTACATATAAAATGACAGCGACCTTCATCTCAAAGTCATCCGTGACGCCGTTTCATTTTGAATCGTATCGTAGATAAACTGTAGACTATGTAGACCTTACTGTACAAAATGAAGGTACCCGAGATATACAAACCAGATGTAGACAGAAAAATGCGAGGTTGCGACATATTTATTAACAAAGTTTATCACGAAAATCATTTATCAATTATAAAATAAAAAAAATCATGTAAATTATTCTATTTCATTAAATTATTGTGTAAAATCATTGTTTTTTTACCATTTGTAGTTTTTTTCGTAGTTTTTGTAGTTTAATTTTTCGGGTCAAATTTCAATTTGGTTAACATACAATGGTTACTGGAATTAAATATTAGGCACTACCAATTGCTTGAACAACTATTGTAAAGAAAGACAATGCTCGAGTCATTGTGGCACAATCGCAATGGTTATCATCTGCCTTTTTTTACTTGAATAATTATAATTCGTGTATAAATCGTGTAGCTTAGGATATTTGTTTTTAGTGTCTACTTGATAATCGGGAATGATAATATCTATATATGGCGACACCTCGAATGCGAATTGTTCAAATTAAAGTTTTATTTCACTAACACAACTGTTGCAATGATAAATACCCTTATTTTTGAGCAGAAATAGAATTTAATGGTCTCTATTTTTTTCCCGTTTTTAGATATTCGTTAGAGCTCAGTTTTGCTATGATCCTCTCGAAGACGATCTCATACCTTGCGCACAAGCTGGCATCGCTTTCAATATTGGCGACATCCTTCAGGTAAGGAAACAATAAAATAGTTTTATTACAGTAAAATGATTTTATTACTCGTCTAGAGTAATTGCTTATCTAACTGTAAACGAATCTTATTTTCATCAGATATTGTACAAAATTAAAATCATACATTTTTGAGATTTGTAACATTCTAGCTTTACGATATTTATTTTCCGTGAAAAATATCAAATTGCTAATTTTCTTCCACAATTCTTCGCATGCAATTCTATCTTCATAGAGGGACAGTGAGACATCCATTAAAAGAACCAAATCTTTTTTTTTTTAGATTTAGTTGGTAAAGATGGAAACTAGAGTTGGTCTAAAACGAGAATTCGTATACACAGTTATACCTGTGAACGTGATCTTTTATTCACGGTGAAAAAACATCTGAATGCAAATTTTACAATTTATGATCATTTTTACATTTAGGTTATGTCGTTGCCATGAGGATGAGCTTATTATTTTTACATGAATTAACTTGCCCCTGATTTCTTATACCGGGTGCGTCTCAAAAGTGGCTCACCCCTATAACTTTTTTATTTTTTCTGATAAAAAATCGAGATTTGGTATGTTAGTATATGGCATAAATTAGGATTGATAGACGTATTCAATTCTTTTCGGTCCCTTCCTGTTTCACCGGAAATGACTATAACTTTTGATTTCTAAAGGGCACCCTCATTATTTTTTTACTTTATTCGATAGAAAATGACACTCTGAATAGAATGACATATCATATATCAACTTTTGACATTTTCGCTTAAAACCAAATTATATTTTTAATTTCAATGCTGTGTTAAAGACACTAATTTTTAATCAAGGAGCCTTGGAAAAATAGATTTGATCGTCTAATGTTTTTAGTATCTTGTCCTGATCGGTTAAAAGATTCCCAAATCGTATTTTTAATCATATCTCAATTTTTTTAAATGGAACGAGGGTGGCTCATTAGCATATTTGGAAATTTTTTGCATTTTTTACCAATAATTTGGTACCACACACTTAGTATTTTAAGTCAAATTGTCGTTATGAATCGTTTATTGCAATTTCAAATAAACCACATTCGAAAATGTCAAAAGTTCACATATGATATGTCATTCTATTCAGAGTGTCATTTTCTATCCAATAAAGTAACAATATACCAAGGGTACCATTTAAAAATCAAATGTTGTAGTGATTTTCGGTGAAACAGGAAGTGACCGAAAACAATTGAATACATCAATCAATTCCATTTTATGTCATATACTAACATACCAAATCTCGATTTTTTATCTGAAAAAATAAAAAACTTATAGGGGGTGAGCCACTTTTGAGACGCACCCGGTATACTGCTGCTTTTAAACTTCGGGAACGATTTCACTATCGTAGTTCTCATTACCAATTATTGATATATATAGTAAGATTAAAATAAATAAAATATACAGTTGAAATGTTCAGCACTTGTATGTATACACCATTTATATTTTATAAAATTATAAGTCTATACAAAAAGTAATAAACTTATAACGATTGTAGTAAATATGAAATATGTTTGTTATTTTACTTTGAAATATGTTTTTATGTGTGTTTTTGCTATTAATGATTACTGCTATTAATGACGAATTCCTGCAAACCCCGAAAGTCAACAAAAACAAAAACTTTAATAGTAACACTATTAAATTTCATATTAAAAAAAATAAAAATATAAAAAATTAATTTTATTTTTTGTCTGTGGTCCTCTTAGATTATCAGTAAGGACGATCACCATTGGTGGCAAGCCAGGAAAGACCAGGCTGGATCAGCAGGGCTCATACCCTCCCCTGAGCTGCAGGAATGGAGAGCAGCCTGTGCAGCCATGGAGAAATCCAAGCAGGAACAAGGTACCGCTTTTTAGCTCGATGGATTTTTTTTGTGTTTAGTTTTAAACGTAAAGCCAGCTTTTTACTATAATTTTTCGTGATTATTTTTCAGAAGAAATTTTCTGATGGCTAGACTAAAGTATACAGGCCTGCGGTGCGATTCTGTAAACTCGTAACATGAAATTTATTGATTGTGACTCACTCTTCTTATGATATTTTTAGGATGTATGAAATAATTTTCCTCGATTTACGAAACCTTTTCGAAAGTTTCTTAGATCCTGAAACTACGCCAATGACATTGTAAAATCTTATAAAAAGGACTATCTCTCCAAAAAAGTCCTATACCGGGTGTTGCATCGTCGGACGGGACATAGGAAATCCCATAAATCCCCGTAAATTTTAATGGGTCAATTATTGGCTTCCATAATTAATTTAGAAAATAATTCTATTTAGGTTTATTGAAGAACACTAAAACCGACATTCAAAAGAATAACTAAAAAGATATTTTTGATTAGCTCGTTTACGAGTTATCGCCGATTTCTTTTTAAATATTTCTCCTCTCTTATGGCCCTGTATTTACTTATGAGCACCAGTTAAGGTAAAAGATAACTGTCAAATGCCAGTTGTCATTTCAGAAAATTACCTATTTAGTGCTTTATTATTATTGAAAACTCATTCCTACATCGGAAATCTTAAAGATGTATTTATAAATACAAATTAACATGAATTAAAGTAAAATAAAGTAATCAATTACAAGGCTAATTATAGTATTATTACAATATTCAATAACTTATTAATTTAGGTTCTATTAAATTATTAGAACTTTACGATTTAAGACGATGTTCAAATATTCCTCCATCGACTGCTAGACAATACCCCAGGCGATCATAAAATTCTCTTCTTACATTCGCTAGTTGGTAAACTGAAATTCTATTGCATTCGGCAAAAATAGCATTTTTTAACTCGTCTTTTCTCGGAAGATTTGGGTATTTTTTATCCTTGTATATCCTGTTTTTTAAATGGCCCCAGAGAAAGAAATCATTTGGCGAAATATCAGGAGACCTTGCTGGCCAATTTACTGTATGATTTAGGCCAATAACGTTTCCGTTAAAACTATTGTCTGAATATTCCCGAACAGCCAGGGTACTATGTACCAAGCAGCCATCCATTTGGTACCAAACTTCCTGATTTTCCCTAGCGGCATCATGTAAAGCAGGTAAAATATGATTTTCGAGTAATTCCAAATAATATTCTGCATTTAAATTTCGCGTAAGAAATAATGGCCCGATAATATTGTGTCTGAATATCCCTGCCCAAACATTTACTTTCTGTGGATATTGCGTCCTTGTTTCGACAAACCTGTGTTGGTTTTCTTTTTCCAATATCGATAATTTTGAACATTGGATTCATTATTTAAGGTAAACGTGCATTCGTCAGTGAAACATATGTTTTTTAAAAATTCCCTATCCGTGTTTGCTCTTTCCATCATATCAAAACAAAACGCCTGCCGCCGTATTTCATCCCCATCTCTTAGCTCTTGGTGTTTTTCATATTTGAAGGAATAGTATTTATGTCGTTTCAAAATTCGAAACGCTGTAGTGTGATCTATTCCTATTTCATCCTCAAGTTTCCTTGTGCTGATCTTTCTATCGTTCTCTTCCACGCACAATAAAACTTCCAAGTCGGTATCGTTTCTTGCATCTTCTCTTTGTTCCTGCCTTGCTTCACATCTGCAGTTATTAGGGTACCTTTGGTCTCAAATCTCTGGATATTTCTTGCGATTGTAGATTTTCCAGGTATCGGTCTATTCGGATACAGAGCAGCAAACATGTCCGACACCTTTTGATAACTATTTCCTTGATAATACCATTTAATCATCAATACTTTTTCTTCGGTAGTGTAATTCATGGCTAATATTTTCGATGTAGGTATGAGTTTTTAATAATAATAATAATAATAAAGGACTAAATAGATAAATTTCTGAAATGACAACTTCATATGACAGTTATTTTTTACCTTGACTGGTGCTCATAATTAAATACAGGGCCATAAGAAAGGAGAAATATTTAAAAAGAAATCGGGCGATAACTCGTAAACGGGCTAATCAAAAATATCTAAAGTTATTCTTTTGAATGTGGGTTTTAGTGCTCTTCAATAAACCTACATAGAATTATTCTCTAAAATAATTAGGCAAGTCAATAATTGACCCCATTAAAATTTACATGGGATTTTCTATGTCCCGCTCGACGATGCAATACCCGGCATAAGAAAGTCTACAAAATAAAATAATTATTTTTGTTAACACTGCTGCGTTAATTCAACGGAGACTAATTGTCAGCAGTGGCTTACAAATGAACTAATTTGCCTAACGGACAAAAAAATGCTTAACGTTTTGGAAAGTACATTAAAATCTACCCTGTTCCCTGTGTTCCATGAATGCTGAAAAAAATAATGCAAAAATTATGATGAAAGAAGCTATAGCCTCTAAAAGAAAAATAATAGAGGCTTTTTAATTCAATCTAATAAAAATAAATGTATTGTTAAAGCATCTGTAGATGTTAGTAATGTACGGCAACATAAATAAACATAACATACGTAAAAATTTAAAAAAAAAATAAAAATAATTATACAGAAAGTTTGAAGCTTTTTGGTTTTACCTTATTAAGTAATTGTTATCAGGTAGTATTTGTTAATTTTGAACTTTAACTTTTGGATATAATGTAATTTTTCAGAACGTCAACGGTTTTTGTAGAAGTATCTGTTTAAAAAAAACTAAAGTGTTCTGGAATAGTTGCATTTAGATATTTAAATAGTTTTTTCTTTGTTCTTTGTATGTATTTGCTTCCGACGACGGAAAGAGATATACTTTCCGAAATGTTAAGCATTTTTTTGTCCGTTAGGCAAATTTGTTTATTAGTAAGCCACTGCTGACAATTAGTCTCCGTTGGATTAACGCGGCAGTGTTTACATAAAATAACTATTTTATTTTGTAGATTTTCTTACAGTGGCGAAATACCCATAGGACTTTTTTGGAAAGATGAATCCGTCACAGAGGTATATACATTTTTTTTAAAGGATTATATTAAGTCTATGGTCAGATCAAACTATAAATTAACAAACGGTATTTTTTACATTTTACTTGTATTTATTGGATCAAACTAAATCAATGTATTTATATGGTCAGCCTGTCTTTTATACATGTCTTTATCTTTATCTTACTTACTGAAATAGAGCCCATAAATCTTTAGAGTGATATGGCTAGTGTACGTGGTGTACCATTTTCGGGTGTTTCATGAGTAGAGATAGAGTGTGTAGCATCTTTAATTTCATAAAAAGTAGCACAGTGGTGTGAAAACCGCATCTTTGTATCTCTACTCATAAACGAGAAACCCTACAAAACACGAAAATGCGACACCCTGTACCTAAAAATCGTACGATATCTGGCTATTTTTTATTGAGGGCCCATTTCAAAGTCTAGTCATTCGAAAATTAAAGTTAAACAACTGAAAACGTACAACAACAGTATTTATTTTGATTTTTCATTTGCAATTTGACAGTGTTTTATTTTCCAGCAGATCATAGTAAACAATATGTTAATTTTTCTCCTCCGCACTTTATATATACTCTGTTTTTTTTCTACTCTATGCGAATGTAAATATATCGATTTTAATGCAAATATTTTTGTTTAGTCACCCTTTTTCCTATACTTTTATTGTTTCCACTATAATCATAGAGACAGATCTGGAATTTGCTCATTAAAACTTCTATCTATCTATAATTACATAATTTTTTAAACCTTTATAATGTTACAGAGTGTATTTAATTTATCATATTACATTATATCGTTGATTGAAGAAATAAGAAGATGGCAATCTGAGCGATTTCATGGGACAAAACATGTCCGAGATGTGGCTGGCGTTACCGTCAGCCTGTCCGAGATTTTGTTCTGCGCCGCGCCGCGCCGCTGCGTTGATATATAGTCGTTTACAGCTCAGCGGTTAAAGAATACTGTAACCTCGTTCTTTTTTTATTTTTTTTTTGGAGGTGTAAAATACCTTTACGTACGGAGTGTGGGACTCAATCTCTCCTTAAGCTGCCTGGAGGACACTACCCACTAAACGTCATCCCCTCGCTCCTGCCACGTCAACCTGGACCCGCTGGACGCATCTCCTCAAGTAGACGCCGGACTGTTCCTTTTTTGTCATTACTCCTGCTCTTCGCTGTATTTTGCCCCTAGTATAATTTGGGCCAGTTTTGAGATGGCTTCAAAGTTTTCTCTTCTTTCTGTTACCGATTTTAAGAAGGCATCTGCGGAGATCAATCATCTACCAATCGTCATGCGTGCCTCACATCTTTCCTGTTCCCATCTTGGACAAGCAAACATTGTGTGTTCTGGAGTATCATTGGGTTCAGCATAGTATCGGCATTCCGCGACTTCCCTCTTTCCAATTTTACACAGGTAACTCCCAAAATTTCCTTGGCCACTCAAGATTTGAGTAAGATAGAAGTTTACCTCTCCATGCTTTCTTTTAATCCACATATTTATATTTGGGATGAGCTTATATGTCCATCTTCCTTTTTGTGATAGTTCCCATTCTGCCTGCCACTGCTGCACTGTGCGGTTTCTCTCCATCTCTCTGCTTGCCCTGGTTTGTACTTCACCCTTGAGAAAGAGTCGTTCTCTTTCTCTTGAGAGAAGATGCAAGGGCACCAGACCCGATATCACCAAGGCTGCCTCAGTTGAAGTTGTGATACGCCGAGCAGACCCTCAAAGCTATGACTCTCTGTGCACCTTCAAGTCTTTTTTATTTACGTGCATATTGGTTGACTCTCTGTGCACACTTCAAGTCTTTTTTACATACGTAATATTCTGGCACGCATATGCTAACACTCTTCTCTTTGCTGGTGTTGGGCCCCGAACGTTTGGCAGTATTGCGGACAATGCTTTAGCAGTTCGTTGTGATTTCAGACACACCTCCTTGATGTGCAGGCCAATCGTGAGTGCACGGTCTATGTGGAAT